AGAGGAGGGAATGTCACTGCTGGGGCTTCTGGGGAAGCTCCAGGGAAGGAGGACAGAGTTTGCAGGGACACCTCTCTCTGCCTATGCCCCTCCTTCCTGCTTCCTGCCTTAAATGAAATGTGACGGCAGCAGCCCCACAATCATCCTGCACCTTGAGGTGACCTTGAGGATGGAGGCACCATCTAGAGGGGTAGAGCTGAAAGTGGAGGAAGCCAGGTCCCTGGGGACCAAGGAGGGCACTCTGTCAGTCCTGACCAACTTCCTCTGTATGCGAAAGAAAGTAACCCTGAGTGTGTTCAGCTCCTGTTATGCGGCCAGACGCAATTCCTAGCTGATAGAGGTTTGTAAAGTGTCACTTTGACCCTGGCTGGAGTGGCTCAGTTGGTTGTCATCCCATACACTGAGAGGTCGGTCGCCAGTTCAGTCCCCACTCAGGGCACATGCCTGGGTTGCAGTCTTGATCCTCAGTAGAGGGTGTGCAGGGGACAGTTGATTGATGTTTCTCTCTCTCTCCCCCTCTCTAAAATCAATAAAAACATTTTTTTTAAAAAAGGTATCATTTTGGTGTTGGTTTTTTTCATTATAAAATATTTCAGCCCTGGCCTGTGTGGCTCAGTGGTTGGAATGCTGACCTGCGCGCCAAAGGGTCCTGGGTTTGATCCCCGGCCCCAGTAAGAGCGGGTGCAGGAGCTGGCCCATTGATGTCTCTTTCACGTCGGCGATTCTCCCTCCCTCTCCCCTTCCCCCCCACTATCTGAAATCAGTGGGAACATATCCTCAGGTGAGGGTTAAACAATAATAATGATGATGATGAAATATTTCACACGTGAAAGCATCTGTAACTCAGACTAAGGAGAAAATGAGCACACCTCTCCCCCCACCCCGCCTGGAAGAGCGGGGCACCTGCCTCCTCCCCGCCGCTCACCCCTCGAGGGAGCTGCGGTCTGGGTTCCGGGGTCTGCATCCCCTTGCTTTCCACCCAGTTACCCCACAGTCTGTAACCCCCCATTATACTGCTCTACTTTGCCTGCTCGTAAACCGTATATAAAATTACGCCGCACTGTGGTTTAGTTTTCTTTTTCCCGCAACATTACGCGCTGACTCTACGTTGATCAAGTAGCTCCAGTCCGTGCACCGCACAGCTTTCCATCGTCTGCTGCGTGACCACCTCACCGTGTGTCCCTCCACTCACCCCTGTGGGTTACTTCAAGCTTCAGACTATTACAGACGCTCCTGGTGGCCCCGGCAGCAGTCCCCCCAACTCCTCCCGACACCATGACTTATAGAGAATCGTGATCTTTATATGGCGTGCTGGAGGGTGTGTAGAGTTCCGGGCCACCTCGAGGGATAAGGGGACTGGTTAGATGAAGCTCACCAGTGCCCACAGCACGGTGGTGCTGACCTGCTTGTAGAATAAATGGGACCAGGGTGTGGGCACGTCAGCGGTACCAGGTAAGGCCAAACTGTCTCCCAAAGCAATTCGCGCTCTTATCATCACCGCATCAGCGTCCCCGCTGCTCTTCCTCACCAAAGCTGATTACTGTTACCTTATTTTTGTAAAAATTCTTTCTGTGGTCTTAATTCATAGTTTCCTTACTACTAATGAGGCTGAGCACCTTTTTTTGTTCATTATTTGATACAATGGAGAGATTCTGTTCCTCACTCTGTGGCGTGAGCTTTTGTGTTGTCTTCCCAAAATTCTTCTCCAGGCCCTTTGTTACTGATTCTGACTCACTGTTCTGTAGTCAGAGAACATGCTTTGCGAAGCTGATACTTTGAAAGATGTTGTCTTACTTTCTGACCTCGCCCGGGGTCAGTTTTTGCACATGCCCAATGCTTATTTGAGAATAATATGCATTCCCAATGGCCGATTGGAGGGCTCTACCGTGAACGTCCAATAGATGAGGGGACGACAAACCCCAGCCTGAAGGGATGGGTGACAAATCCCGCCCTGGCCACCTGTCTGTGTACTGTCCAGGGCTACCTGCACCCTGCAGCGGCAGTTAAGTAGTTGAGACAGAGACCTATGGCCTCGCGAAGCAGGAAGTGTTCGCTATCTGGCCCTCTATAGAAAAAGTACCAACCAAGGGGCTCCACACTGTTTCCCCTTCACCTTCTGTCTTTTGGATGCCATGAAAGAAAGCGCTGTTTTAAACCTTCTACAGCAGTGGCACTTTGGGCAGATTCTGTTCATCTCTGCTTTGTTGCTTTATGCTGAGGCTAATTAGGTGCACACCAGTTTAGATGGCTCCATCTTCCCGGTGTGTTATCCCTTCCATCAGTAATGCGAGGGTCCCTTTGTCCCTAGTAATTATTTTTGCTTTGGAATCTGTTTGGATGATACTGTTACTAACAGCTTCTTTTCATTAGCATTTCTTTTTTCCATTCTTTTATGTCTTGCATTTTGGGTGTGTCTCTCTTAAATAAAATAGCAGGCAGCTGAGCTTTTTTCCATGGAATCTGACAGTCTCAGTCAGGAAGTTTGGTCCATTTATTATACACAGTGACAGATATATTTGGTTTCATTTCCACCATCTTAGATTGTATTTTCTCTTTATACTATTTTTTTCTATGCTCCCTTCTTTCCTGCCTTCTTTTGGATTAAGATTTTTTTTTACCCTCACCGGAGGGTATGTTTATTAACTTTAAAGAGAGGAAGCGGGGGAGAGGGAGAGAGGAAGACATCGGTGTGAGACACATTGATCAGTTGCCTCCCATACACACCCCGACCGGGGATTGAACCCATACTTTTGGTGTACTGGACAGGACAACACTCCAACCAACTGAACAACCTGGCCAGGGTTGGATTAAGATTTTTAAACTCCATTTTTTATCTTTATTGATTTGAAGTTTTAGCCTTTTCATAATTTCCCCTAATAGTATAACTTAAATTCTAGATTTAATAAAGTAAAAAAATTCACCAGTGCCTTCACCCTCCTCTGGAACAATGTAAGAACATCCAAACTGTTAATGTCAGGGTTAGATCCCTTCACTAACTTCTTTGTTGTTTATTTTTATTGTGTTTTTGAGAGAAATACATCATCTGTTTTCAAAATAGCACTTGAAACAATACAAGTAGTACAGATACTATAGGACAAAGCAAACTGCAGCCATGAGACACTACGTACATTGTATGAGAAAAACAGTCTGATATTCAGGTAATGAAATTAGAATTAAAAAGGTCCACATTCCCAGCTTGGCAAAACGTGTAAACACAGTAACAAGACTAAACGTGTGCCTGGCGATTTCAACCCAACGCCATAGCCACTACAAACACACGGCAGCGTGCACATGTCCCTGACTCGTGGATGCAGCGGGAGGGCAGGTGACTGCACAGGGACAGGCTGTGGGAAACGGCCCACTGTGTACTGGACATCAGAGAGTCGTGCTGAAAATAAAGTCTCAGTTACTGTACAGCCCAAAAGGGAAGAAATTATGGTTCAACTTTGGGAAAACTAATCTAGAAGGGTAGAGAAAGGGTTTAAGAAATGCAGTGTAATGTGGAAACCGCTCAGTTGGGAGAGGAGCACCAGAGGGAGGGGAGGAAGCAGAGCCAGGCTGGTGGGAAACCTGTTAGGGTGCTATGTCTAGGTTAAGAAAGGCGGCTTTCATTCATTCACATCTGTTGTCCTTCACGTTTCCTAAACATGGATGTTCTGCTGCTTAATTATGAGTGTGTTTAACATATATTCCTAATAGTTTGTAGGATAAAACAAAAAATTAGAAAGCCGACTGGATGTCAGGTGCTGCTAGAAATTATTTTTTTCTAGATGTAAAATTTACTGATGGATTTCAGTAAATCATTTAAAAACAAAAATCAGCATAAAATTCTTGGAGAAAAGAATTTTCTGCTTACCTGTTTTAATTGGACATTAACTTTCCTAAAACAGGTATTCTGTGGAGGACACAAAATTTCTCGTGTGTAGAGATCAAATGGCCATCCAAGATGGGCAACATGCTTCACAGGCATTCCTTTCAGTCAAGGTTCACTAAACTATTAGCCCTGGAACCAAAATGTCATGTTTTGTGCCACGTGGCACAGGACTTGATTTTATATCATGGTTAAGAAAATTCTAGCGTTCTGGGTTTTTTATGAAATAACATACAAGCATACCGTGTGCACACAAGCAAAGCAAAGAGGAGGGGAGACACAAGGCTATCTTGTTTTAGGACAAATGATTAAGGACAAGAGAACATGGAGCTGTGTAAGCTCCAAGACAATGTCTGCTGTTTGACCGCTGATTGTGCGCTATGGAACAATTCTACAGAAAAACTGTAGAATTGAAGTGCAGTTCACCACTGCACAATGGCATAAAATTTGGAGGTTAATAATGAAGAAAACTTCAGGAAAAAACTAAAATTCATCAAGCTGAAACTAGTTCTCCTTTCTAATAATACACATAAAGTGCATCATCAATATCAGGAACTCTGATACAATTTGTACAGCCAATTCCCCCTAACAATACATCAAACATAAATCCAGATGTCAGTCACGGGTACAAGGATAGCTGGAGGACGTCTTCTCTTTAAGGGAAGTAGTCCTTTGAAATAGTTAATGTAACTGTTGCTGACACATTAGTAAACTACACAATAACAGTACTTCTAGCTTCATGTACTAACCTGGAATTCTGATCAAGATCAGACCAGCAAAGGAAGTTACCAAATCAGCCTAAATCTCTGAGTCTTATCTAGCTTGGTGCCCTTCTTTCTCCGCCTTTAGCATCTGAAGGCAACAGATCGAGTTGGCAGATATTATTTATGGAAGCTTGAGGTTGTTTTTATCAGTTCAATCTGTTTTATTGAATTCTTGATAACAGGAATAGGATTTGCAGGGAGAGCAGGGATACTGGAAAGGTCTCTACTGGGCGTTTCCTGCCCGGCCAACAGAGAAGCTGCTGTCGGAATAGCCTCTGACTGAACTATACTGTCTCTTTACAAGACCGCTCCTCTTCTGTCTTAGCTTCCTCGGTCCTTTTGTGTTTATGAGGTGAGATCGTCCTCTAGACTCCTACTATAGGATTAGCTATGGTTGTGGCTGCGCTCCCTGAAGGCCGGGGTGGATGGTTTACCAGAAGTGTTGAAGAAACAAGTCTAGTGATGGTGGGCTTTGGTGGTGGAGGAATGGCTGCTTGTGAGGCAGTCTGAGGAATGCTTTCACTCGATGCACCCCCTGCGCTCTCACTGGGATTCGCTTGCTGCAAGGAAACTTCAGTAACCTGCATGTTGGTCGCAGATGCTGCCATTACAGCCAGGGCAGGGCTGTTTCTGCTCTGAGAGGGGCCAGTCGCTGGGCCAGTCTTCACAGTGCTCGTAGGTGAAGGCACAGACATGTCGTTTTCACTGTCTACAGACGAGTCGAGACTGCTGTCATTCAAAGCTGTCAGTCTGACCTCTTCTGCTGAGTGTGTGTTCTTTCTCTGAAGCACGTGATTAGGTAGTAGCTGATGAAGTTCCTTTTTCCTTAAATGCATTGCATCGATTTTCATATCCATCTCAAACATCTTACTATTTATTGCTTGCCTATAAACTGTGTCTGTGAAAGACTGGATATCATAGGTGAGATCAATACTGAGCACTTCAGAATTTTCTGGCTTTTTTAGCACTAACCCAATCACCCACATTGTACGAAATTCTTCCTTGTCAGGATTTTCTTTGGGCGCTGGAAACGACTGAGGATTCACATGAGCCAGCGTAATAAATTCATTCTTCTCCAAGCTTCCAACCAGGATTCGGATCTTTGATTCCACCAAGCCCACCCATTCTAGACGTTGCTTTTCTGTTGGTGCACTTGCTAGAAGTACAATATAATGCTTGTACTTCTGAAAGAAGCTTGGGGCTTCAAAAAGTTTGGACCACTCTGCCTTACTCAGCAAAATCTCGTGTGTGATGGCAAGGCCCTGTTTAAACTCCTCGATCATGACCATCCGTGTTGAAACAGACACGTTGTAGGTGGAGTTCTGCTGGGGGTATGCTGGTGTGATGATCGGCATCAGATGGTACCTGTCACTGGGATTGACCCTCGGGTCCCACACAGGCAAGTTAAGGTTCTGTTCTTCGGGCTCCTTCAGCAGCACCGGGTTGGGCCACTCCCACTCGGAAAACACCAGGAAGAACTTGCGCACCAGAGTCGACGCCACTGCATTCGGGTAGAGCTGGCAGGTTCTCGCCACGAGCATGGCCCAGGAAACACCTCCCAGGAACCCCAAGATGTTGGAATAGATGTTGTGGCATTTCGCCCACAGTTTGATGGCCCTGAGGGTCAACCTGAAGTTGTCGATGTTCGGCACCAGATGTAAGATCTCGTCGGTGACCCGGCACCCGTTCAGGCTCCTTATGCACCGGATGTCCAGGTTTTTCAGCAGGCTGTCGTCCCTCAGGTCCAGGTCCTCGGGGATGGTCGGCAGCGCCAGCCTCGCGAACAGGATGTCGATCTCCACGCCGCCGAAGCACAGGCGGATGACGGGCACGAAGGCCTCCTCCACGGCGCGCAGGTCCCGCACCTCGGCCTGCGCGCGCAGCTTCGCGAGGAAGGAGGAGAAGAAGTCGCGGCGGTCCACGTGCCGGGGCGCCACGCACAGCGCGTCGATGTCCGCGCCCCTCGTGTGCACGCCCAGCCGGTAGGAGCCGAACGTGAAGATCTTGCCGCCCACCTTCTCCACGACGGCGGGCGGCAGGCTCTTGCTCTCGCCGATTTCCCGTATCCAGTCCTTGACCAGGCTATTCAATTTCTCCAAAATTAAAATCCTGCGCTGCAGCTCCTCTTCCTCTTCCAGAACCCCGAAGGGCTTCAGGGTTTCGATTAATTTCTGGGTAAGCGCGCAGTCTGTCTCCCTGGGGGCGGCTAAACTGATGGGGGAGGAGATGCCGTAGAGCCTGGGGGGCGGCGGGGCCTGCTGGGAGCCCGGGCCTGTCGCC